TGCCCCCTCTACCATAGAGAGCCCTGCCATGCAGGGGAAAGCCGGGTAGAAACCAAATAAATAAATAGATCTAAAGCAGTTAAAATCAGCCAACCACTGGTATGCATTAGGGGCCAGGGGCCAGCACTGTTGTCTGTCACGCTTGCCCATAAGCTTGAATCCTGTTACTCTCTCTCACTAACGGCACAGCTTCTTTTACCTCACAGGGTGTCTGTTGTGGGGAGGGGAAGGGAAAGGAGTTTGTAAGCCGCTCTGAGACTCTGAGTGGAGGGCGGGGTATAAATCCAGTCTCCTCTTCTTCTCTTCTGCCGAATTCCCCTCCTGGCAGCAGCCGGAGGCTGTGCTATCAGTCGAATGGAGTGATGGGATCACACCCTTTTTTTTCCAGTTAAACGAAAACCTTGGTACTTCGCCTTTGCTTTCTGTCTCCACATGTAGGAGTAGAAGGATGCTATCAAAATGGCTGTATTCACCCAGTGTGATGTGTGCTTTGTTTTGTTTTTTAATGTGAGAGCCAGTTTGGTGTAGTGCTTAAGAGCAGCAGACTCTAATCTGGGAGAACCGGGTTTGATTCCCCACTCCTCCGCATGCAGCCAGCTGGGTGACCTTGGGCCAGTCACAGTTCTCTCTGAGCTCTCTTAGCCCCACCTACCTGACAGGGTGTCTGTTGTGGGGAGAGGAAGGGAAAGGAGTTTGTAAGCCACTGAGACTCCCGAGTGAAGGGCGGGGTATAAACCCAAACTCCTCTTCTTCCTCCTCTTCCTCCTCTTCAGTGTAGTGGTTAGAGTGTCAGACTAGGATATGGGAGACCCAGGTTCGAATCCCCTCCCTGCCATTGAAGCTGGCCGGGTGACCTTGGGCCCGTCACACACGGTCCACCTAAGCGACTTCACAGGGTTCTGGGCTTACAATGGAGGAGAGATTTGGGTCCCCCTTGCGGGGAAAGTTGGGGTATAAATGAAGGAAAAAAATAATCCATTTGGAATTACACTCTCATAGTCTTCCCCTTTCCTCCTTGGCGGCAGCAGCAACATCTCATCGTGATTTTGAGTGTTTAGAGGGAATCGTGATTCCCCTAGCCAAAATTGTGATTCCCTTAACGTCATTCATTGCCAGATGAGTTCTGTAAAGGTGCCAACCCAGGATGTTCCGTAGCCAGATTAATCGCCCTGATTGCTTAAAACAACCGCCATCCTTTACGAGCCGATGGTGCTGGCTCTAGGAACCGGAGGGGCTTGTTCCAGACGGCCCAGAGTTCTGACTGCATGAACAGAGTCTTCAGAACCCCTGTTGGTTTGTGGTGGTGAGGAGTTGGCTGCCTGTGTGCGTAAAGTGCCATCAGGTTGCAGCCGATTTATGGCTACCCTAGCGAGGGGTTTTCGAGGCAAGCGAGAAGCAGAGGTGGTTTGCCGTGGCCTTCCTCTGCACAGGCTTCCTTGGTGGTCCCCCGTCCAGGTACCAACCTTGCATAGCTTCTGAGATCTGATGGGGGTTCTATCATTCCGCTTTCCCTTATAAGAACATAAGAGAAGCCAGTGTTGGATCAGGCCAATGGCCCGTCCAGTCGAACACTCTGTCACACAGTGGCCCAAAATACCAGCTGCCATCAGGAGGTCCAGCAGTGGGGCCAGGACACTAGAAGCCCTCCCACTGTTGCCCCCCCCCCAAGCACCAAGAATACAAAGCATCCCTTGCCCCCAGACTGAGAGTTCCTATCTATACCTTGTGGCCAAGAGCCACTGATGTACCTCTGCGCCATATATTTATCCAATTCCGTCTTGAAGCAGTCCATGCTTATAGCCGCCACCTCCTCCTGTGGCCGTGAATTCCATGTGTGAATCACTCTTTGGGTGAAGAAGTAGTTAGTTGGTTACCTGGAGAGTCCCAGTTTGTTTCCATAGCGTGAGCTTGACTGCATTTGAGCCGGGGGTTGGGTGCACATAAGTGGTTGGTCTTTTACATCCAAATGTCCCGAAAATCCAGTGAACACCCTGGCATGCTCCTGTGCCTCGAGAGGCCTGATGGCATGTCTCGAGGAGGCCTCCCATAGTGTCTCTGCATGACTCAGTGCTCCATCTGGCCTTGCCTCCTCCCTCTCAGCCTCAGTTATCCTGCTACTCCCGTCCAGAATAACAGGAGAGACCGATCCAGATACTAAGATGTAAAAGACTTGCCCATCCTGGGAAGAGGCGTCTGTGGAGTCTCGAGGTCTGGCCCGTCTCCTTCCCGTCAAGCAGCAGGCCTGATCAGTGACCCATGCAGAACCATAGACCTCGTTGGGCAACTGGTAAATCCTTACTCTTTAAAGAAACCTTTAGGTCCTAAGAGGCAAGCACGCCTCCAGTTTTAAATTCAGAAAGAAATTTCATGGGCACTCCATGAAATTGCTGAGCGGCCGGGTTAGAACGGATAAAAGGAAGTCCTTCTTCACCCAAAGAGTGATTAACACTTGGAATTCACTGCCACAGGAAGTGGTGGCAGCTACAAGCATGGACGTGTGGTGCCTCTTCTGGAGCCTCATAATCAAACTGCTTTTTCTTTCTCCTTTGTCTTTGTTGCTCTGTCTTCTTGGTGATGCTCTGTCTTCTTGGTGCTTGGGGGGGGTCAACAGTGGGAGGGCTTCTAATGTCCTGGCCCCACTGGTGGACCTCCTGATGGCACTGGTATTTCTGGCCACTGTGTGACACAGAGTGTTGGACTGGATGGGCCTTTGGACTGATCCAACATTGGCGTCTCTTATGTTCTTATGTTCTTAAAGCACACTTCAGGTTTTGGAAACTGGGGAGATGTTGAAGTAGAGGGTGAGCAGAATGGGAGGTCAGGGATTTCGTGGTTGCTGACACCAATGTTCCCGCCGAGTGAGTGTGAGCCGGCTCACAGTTTTTGAGCCTCCGGCTCACCCATTTTTGCCTTAGCTCAGGAAGGGACAGCGCCAGAGCAAACTAATTTATGCAGCGGCCCAATCGCTCGCTCACAACTTTAATGCCAGGAGCTCACAAAGTAGAAACTTCGCTCGCAAGACTCCACAGCTTAGAGGGAGCGTTGGCTGTCACCCAGCACTTATTTCCTCCCCCCACCCCAGCAAGCCCTGACCCGAATTCCAGATTCCTTTGAAAGCTCAGCACAGCGAATGGTGTGTGCACGCGCAGTGTCCTCAAGTCCCGGCTGACTCACGGTGACCCCATAAACTTTTCAAAGCAAGAGACAAGCCAGAGGTGGGGTTGCCATTGCCTGCCTCTGCGTAGCAACCCTGGACTTGCTTGGTGGTCTCCCATCCAAATACCAGCCAGGGCCGACCCTGCTTCCGAGATCTGACTAGATCGGACTATCCAGGGCCGTCCAGGACAGAGGTGGCTTTGCCATCGCCCGCCTCTGTGTGGTGACTCCAGACTTCCTCGGGTGCCCTCCCACCCAAATACTAACCAGGAACAGTGTTCCCTCTAAGCTGAGTGAGCGTGAGCCAGCTCACGTTTTTTTAGCCTCCAGCTCACACATCCTTGTCTCAGTTCAGGAAGGGACGGCGCCAGAGCAAACTCGCTGATGCAGCAGCCAAACGGCTCACTCACCGCTTTAATGCCGGGAGCACACAAAGTAGAATTTTTGCTCACAAGACTCCACAGCTTAGAGGGAGCATTGACCAGGACCCCACCGGTGTTCCCTCTAAGCTGAGTTAGTGTGAGCTACCTCACAGTTTTTAAGCCTCGGGCTCACACATTTTTGCCTTAGCTCATGAAGGATGGTTCCAGAACAAACTGATTTACGCAGCGGCCAAATCACCTGCTCACAACTTTAATGCCAGTAGCTCACAAGATAGAATCATTGCTCACAAGACTCCACAGCTTAGAGGGGACATTGGACCCCACCCTTGCTTAGCTCCCGAGGTCTGGCGACCAGGTCAGGGCAAAAGGGTAGTAAGGGAGAGATCAGGCGCATTTGGTTTGCAAAGGGCTAACCGCGTTCATATGCCGTTTGTGGATCTGCGCACCTGGATCGTTCCAGCACACACACACACACACCCCGAGGGAGGCGGTTTTGCCCACTTTGGGAAGCAGTGATCTATTACAGCCAAGGAGGAGCCCAGTGGCAGCTGAAAGACTCTCAGCGCCTATTTCAGTATGAGCGTTTGTGAGCCACAGCTGACTTGCTCGGGTATCTGAGGAAGTGAACTGTGATCCACAAAAGCCCCTATTGAAACATACCCAAGTCAGAGCCAGTTTGGTGTAGTGGTTAGGCGCGGACTCTAATCTGGGAGAACCAGGTTTGATTCCCCACTCCTCCACTTGCACCTGCTGGATGACCTGGGGCAAGCCATAGTTCTGTCGGAGCTGTTCTCACAAGGACAGATCTCTCAGAGCTTTCTCAGCCCCACCTACCTCACAGGGTGTCTGTTGTGGGGAGGGGAAGGGAAAGGAGTTTGTAAGCCGCTATGAGACTCCTTCAGGTAGTGAAGGGCGGGGTATAAACCGCTCTGAGACTAGGGCAGGATATAAATCCAATCATCTCCTCTTCCTCCTCTTCTTCTTCTTCTTCCTCCTCTTCTTCCTCCTCCTCCTCCTCCTCCTCTTCTTCTCTTCGTCTTGCTGTTGCCACGCTTTTGTTTTATATTTGGTTTGCACTGTGTCTTCTGCCAGAATTTGAGTTTTCTGGCTCCGTCATTGGATTTTCAGTGGGGAAGTACAGAGCGCTTTGGGGCAGCCTTAATAATTCTGCGTTTGCTCAAGTCGCTCATTCACCTCTTAGGAAAGATCCATGTCTTTGTTCTCCATCGTTTGAAGTGAAAGGGCAGAAATGCGTGTCTCTCTCCCTCGATTTGTTTGAACTTCAACTGTTGTCGCTCGCAAGGCAGAGACAAATGCAGCCATGGTAGAGTTGATTTGGCTTCGTCTCCCAGTGGGTGCCCGCATCTAACCCTGGTGGCTCTCCTCTCTTTCCCCAGGTGGACCGCCGGTCGTGGCTCATTACGATATCTCGGACACGAACTCTGACCCCGAAGTGGTGAACGTGGACAATCTTTTGGCCGCCGCGGTCGTTCAAGAGCACAACAGCTCGGTCATCAGCAGGGAGACCGGGCCGACTTGGAGGACGAGAGGGCTCCTAGAGGAACTGAATACCGAGGCAGGTGGGTGGAAACAAGTGTTGACCAGCTGGGATGCGGCTGTCCTTGAAATCTGGTCCAAGCTGTTGCTTAGTTCTCGTGGCCCTTTCTTACACGCCCAGAGAAATGCTGGTCACCACTTTGGGGGTCATGAAGCAATTGTTCTCCAGGCCAGTTTGGCCAGGGATCGTGGAGGGTTTTTTTTTTTTTGTCATCTTTTTATTTTCAGTTTTACAAATCTTACATTCCAACTTTACATCTTACATATAAGATACATCTTACATATAAGATAGATTCTTAAACAGTTGTCAGATCTCCTATCCATTTATACACCCTTAACCACCTCTTAGCATGTACCTTTTCATTTTTATTTTGAAACATCAAACTCAAATCATCCATTTGTGCCCTCTAGTAATTTAAGTGTTAGTTCTTCTCTAGAAGGTATTATGTCAGATTTCCAATTTTTTGCCAGTAACAAACTAGCAGCGGTTATTATATAGGATAGTAAGTATGATTCTTGTACATCATATCCATTCGGAATTATATTCGGCAAATATATTTTGGGTTTTAATGCTAGTTTTTTTCCTAAAATTTCTTGAATTATCTTCCGCACCATTTTCCAATAGCCTTGTATTTTACTACATTTCCACCACATTTGATAAAAGGTCCCTATATTCGCTTTGCACTTCCAGCATTGGTTGGACTGAATTTCCTGCCTTGTGCAGGGGGTTGGACTAGATGACCCTGGAGGTCCCTTCCAGCTGTGATTCTTGCAGAGACTTCCGCAAGTATCCCTGACCAGCTCCTGTACTTCCGTCCCTTCACCCTTCTCCACATGGCACGTTATTTCTAACATCCTTGGGTGTTCAGCATTGAGATCTGTCCTATTCAGGGATGGGAGCTTGTACAGGTCTTTGCCCACCCAAGCCAGTCCAGGAATGGGAGGGAATACTGTACTTTTCAGTACATTAAACAACAAACCACGAGATGGTCTATACCAACAACATGCCACCAGAACCTCTTTTCACTAGTCCCTGCCTTTCCTAAGGGAGAGATTCCAAACCCTTAGTTGGCATTTGGGACAGAACACATTAGCAACTCATTCCAGAGATGCACACTTTTTACTAAGGTAGCATGTGTGGGGAGTGTTAGGCTATAAGATTTAGACTTAGAATTCAGGCACAACATCAGAAACCATTTAACAATCAGAAGGATCTTTATTCAGTACAGAGATTAGCATAGACTATCAGAGATTACAAAATAACAAAGGCTTAGGGCAGTTTGCCTTAACTACACATTAAAGATACATAGTTACCAAGGTCAGGATATTCATCAGTCCAAGATAGTCCGAGTACCAAGGGATTTTAAGAAGAAATCCCATCCTTGCACCCATGTGCTCCAGTTCACAAAGCAACTCTTTGTCTCTCACGAGGCAGCATGGTATCAAAAGACATCACAGGAGAAGGCATGTGGATATAGAAGCAGAAAGCAAAATTTCTATACAGAGCTGCAAAAAAAAAAACACAGAGCAAACCTGCACCTTGCAAGGCACAGGCCATAACATATGTAAAACGTTTCTTTATTTGACAGTTCAAGGACCCAGCAGCCTCAGACAGGACCAGTCTTACAAATGCCACCCTCTGTTTCTGGGGTCCCCAACCTTGTGCCCATGGGCACTATGGTGCCTGCTGACACCTTTCCTGGTGCACGCCAAGTGTCATTAGAAAGTGCGCACGGCCAGATCTGATTAGCCGTGCAGATTTTTATACACACACACATACAATGGCCGCCACAGCTTGCCTTCAGCCCCACAGTGAAGATCCATGTGCTGTCGGGTCAACTGCTACCAAAGAAAGGTTTTTTAAAATGGGTGAAAATTACAAGGGAGTCGTTACCGGCTAAATATCAGGAGAAACTTCCCAACTGTAAGAGTGGTTGAGCAGTGGAACAGACTACCTCGGGGGGGGGGGATGCTCCTTCGCTGGATGTTTTCAAGCAGAGACTGGACGACCCTCTTTTGACTATGTTGTAGGGCTATCTTTCGGATGGCCTTGGGCAAGCCGTAGTTCTGATAAGAGCTGTCCTTGAAAAAGAGCCGTTTCTGTCAGAGCTCTCTCAGCCCCACCCACCTCACAGGGTGTCTGTGGTGGGGAGGGGAAGGGAAAGGAGTTTGTAAGCCACTCTGAGACACCTTTGGGTAGTGAAGGGCGGGGTACAAATCCAGTCTCTTCTTCTTTGCTGGTATCCCATTACTCCCGAGGAGAATTCCCTTTCTGTTCTCTCCCTTCATTTGCACCCGTTGTTGGGGTTCTGCTTCTGAATGCCACAACCATGTGGACCAGATCCAACTTCTTGCCCAGCGATCAGGTAGCCCCTCGGACAGAGCTGACGTGTTCACTGGAACAGCACCGTCATTGGGGATTGCACCAGGGGAAGCGTCTCCCACGTGCCACGCGCTGAAGAGGGTCAGCGTCCAGTCCCGAGTTCGGCCAGCACAAGCTTTGGCAATCAGCCACAACCTCTGAAGCGTGGCTCTTGCTCCGTGCCGTCTTTTCACTGACCGTGTGGGTTCTGGACGCATTCCCTTTGCTTGTTGGCTGCTGGTAGTTCTACCAGAGCCGTAGCTGCGTGAGCGCCACTGCCTTCCCACCACGGTCTGTCGCGTTGGCTTCGCTTCCAGTCACGAATGCCTCCCCCCCTCTGCCTTCGTCATCCAGCAAATGCGGTGTTCCTTTGGCACTCTCCACCAAGATTCCCAGCAATCTTTGTTCAGGGTGGACGAAAGGAAATACTGCTTCACACAGAGACTGATTAAAATGTGGGATTCGCTGCCAGAGGGTGTTGTGATAGCCACAGGAATTGACAGTTTTAAAAGGGGATTAGATAGATTCACGGAGGACAAGTCTGTCAATGGCTACTAGCCATGGTGACTGAGGGGAACCTCTACATTCAGAGGCACTAATCTTCTGAATCCCGGAGCCAGGAGGCAACTTGAGGGGAAGGCCTCGCCCTCTATGTCCTGTTGTTGGCCATACGGAGGAACTGGTTGGCCGCTGTGTGAGACTAGACGGACCACTGGTCTGGTCCAGCAGGGCTCTTTTGATGTTCTCATGAAGGCCTCAGCCTCCATGCCTTGTTGCTGGCCCTCCAGAGGAACTGGTTGGCTACTGTGTGAGACAGGATGCTGGACTAGATGGACGACTGGTCTGATCCAGCAAGGCTCTTCTTATGTTCTCATGAGGGGAA